GGGAAGGGAGGGAGGGAGTGAAGGGGGCGGGAGAGAAGTAATATAGAGTAGAAAAGAAAAACTTCACAGAGGGAGTAATCGTAAAGATATTTTTAAAGATACTGAAGAATAAGTTGGCATATGACCTAAGCTATTTCGGCAGGAAGTATCAAGAACCAAAATTAGGGCAAGGGAAAGGAATGAAAATGTAGACAGATGGGAAAAAAATATTTGGACTTAAAAGTACAACATTCTTGTTTTCCTCATAAAAGATATGCACAGAGCATCAGGAAGTATTATTTAGAACAATGTTTATAAAAACAATGCCAGTTTCTTATTTTTCTCTTTTTTTAAAATCAAGCTGAATGCATGAGCTGGCTTTAGCACAGGGTCCCAGATGTTTAGTGGTCAACCAAGACCTCGCTCAGACAATAGAGTAAGCAACAAATCAGGAAACCCTGGGGAAATGGGAGTGGGAGGGATTTTTTTTTAAACAGTTCTAGTTAAAGAAACTAAACTAGCATAAGGCAACACTGGAGTTAACAAAGCAGTCTTGTGAAGGACAAAAGGATCCAGTTACAGAGCCAGGAAACAGACTTCTGTCTGACAAACAATTATGGGCAACAATTACTAGATTAGAAGTCAAAAGAGCAGATTTAAGTCTGGCCTCTTCTCTTTATCCCTGTGTCTTTATGCAGTCGTGCAACCTTTTACCAAAAGAAAAACATAAAAGCGACACAGACATTGGCTCTGACGGGTTCTTGGTATATTCTTGGATAATAGTAGAAGCAGATTCTGGGTCTGTAGGGTAAAATCAAAGTTAACTAAAGAGAACCAATTTAAAGAGGCAAAGAAAATATCTTAGGAATTCGAAACGGGTCTTTAGAAGGTGGCTACACAAAAAAAATCAGTAAAATGTAGGCACAATGAAGTTAGAGAAAAAATAATAAAGCCAGACCAACAGGCTAAAATGAGAGATGGCTGTTAAAATGGATATAAATGGCATAAGGAATAAAATTTGAAATGAGAAATTATGTCAGTATCTGAAATACAATACCACAGAACTCACTATGGGAAACACAGTGGAGAATATAAAAGACAGGCTCTCTCAATATACAAACCAAAGGAAAAGATGCTCCAGTGTCTTGAGATATAAAATGAGCTTCAGAATTAAAGAAAATGGGATGATAGATGTTACTAAGATGTAATGAATAAAAACAGAAAACTCATTTTCAAGTTAAAACATGCATGATATATTAAATTAATGATTATTTTTTTCTGGTTCCCAGTTCATTTGAATGTATATATGTACAGGGGGAAAAAAATCTCAAAACGTAATGGGAGGCCTCTGTGGGCTAGAGAATTACTCTTTGTCAGAAGTAAGACTATATTTGTCATTGACGTGGTTGTCTGTGTGGAAAATTGGAAGCTACTAGAATGACTATGTTAGTAAAGCCCCACACTACATGATCAACATAGAAAAGTCATCAGTTATTTAAGAAAAGCACAAATGTCATGTCGTCACAGTCAGTATGTCCATAATCATTTGTCCATAGTAGAGAAAACCAGAAATAGTGAAACGATCCATAGCAGACCCCTATTTGTAGATGAGATGGAATTCTGACGTATGCGAAGCCATGCACACTTTTCAGAAGTATCTTCTCAGGACACTGTGTAGTCAGTCTGCCCGTGTATCTCAAGTTCCACAAAGGTGCAACTATGGTGCACAGAAAGCACACAAATGATTGCTTGGGGCCAGGAGCTGGGGAGGGCTAATAACGCCGGCGAAGATTCTCCGGGAAGTATGGAAACTCTTCTCTATCTGGAATGGGCCTGTGATTATGCAACTCTGTATCTTCTCTTTTCAAAAGTTACCAACTTAAAACACTTCAAAACTACAATAGTTTATAGAAAATTATTCAACAATAAAGCTGATTGAAGCAAAACAGACCTACGTGCAAAATATTTGTAAAGCCCAAATTAGGCTTTAGAGTTCAGAAAACTCCAAGGCAGAGTTGGAGAACAAATTAGAGATTTTTGAGAAACACCAAATGGTTTCAAATTACAGCCTTTGCTCATGTGAATCTCCAGCGTACATAAAAAATATTTATGTAAATCTATTCTTGCTATTTGGTAAGAGATAAAAGATGTGGCCAAATCTGAGAAATTATTAATGTGTAATAGGTCAGGAACACTGCATATGAAAATCATAATGTCATCACAGACCTAATTTGCCAAAAATGAAGGAAACAGAGTGATGGGGACTTGACTTTGCAAAGAAGGGCCCTGCAAGTCCTTTTTGTTCCTCCAGTTCCTGTGTTGCAGGCCTGGTCATTTCCCCAGAAGCAACAACATATTGCAGTTTGGCCCTGGTCAGATATTTTGATTTAATCAAATAGGAAACGTCATGCATGGGAGAATATGTAAAAGTCCCACCCCTGACACAGGACTACTTGGGAGTCTCTCAGTTGCCCTGGCTTGATGTAGAGGATGAAGGGGAAGCCAGAGGGTACAAGGTGGGGAACAGCACACTTCAACCGGGGAGACAGATGGATGATGTCTTTAATGCGTTCGCAGTGAAAAGCTCATATCAGAGGTGAAACAGCTCGCTTGGTGGCTTGGGGTCAAGTGTCATAAGGTGCTATTTTTTTTTCCAAAATGCAGGGAAGGATTATATAAACTATTTCTTGCAGCTGAAACACAAATAGTTATGTTGATTTCTTTGGAGCTTTCCATGGAAGTGAGTTTTTAATATGCCCTGAAATGAGATGTCTGCAAAATCATCATTTAAGAACACAAAAGCATGGGCTAGAGAGATGGCTCAGGTTTCTTTCAGAGAACCTGGGCCCATGCTGTAGCTCACAACTGTTTCTAACTTCAGTTCCAGGGAATTCGACCCTCTTACATAGACATGCGTACAGGCAAAACACCAATGCCCATGAAATAAAAGTAAATAGATTTAAGAACACAGGAGCAAAAATTATTCATCTACATTTCATTCAGAATTTTAAAGAAGAAAGTTACTTCTGTGGTTGATTTTTGGCATGCTTCCTTTTCTTCAAGCTATGTAAAAGTTTTTGACTGTGTTCAACACTTGGTCTATGGACACAGAGGACTGGTTTTGCAATACCACTTTAGCACTAGGAAATTTTAACTGAGAGCTAAATTCCATATGCTTGGAAGAAAATGAAGAATTACTTTAATAAATATTCTGTGTCAAAAGGAAGTGATAAAGCAATTTAAATATGCTTCTTCTTCTTCTTCTTCCTCTTCTCCTCCTCCTCCTCCTCCTCCTCCTCCTCCTCCTCCTCCTCCTCCTCCTCCTCCTCCTCCTCCTCCTTCTTCTTCTTCTTCTTCTTCTTCTTCTTCTTCTTCTTTCTGTGTTGTCTCCTTAGTCATAGTCATGGTGGGTCATATCAAAAGGAAGTCCTTTGTCATTCTGGCTGCTGTTCTGTTCTTTCTCCCAGGGAGGGAGATGCTGCCAGGGTAGGTCTGCCACTTTCAGTGTTTACCCTCTGTTTGGATCTGTGTTACTAGGTGCCCACTCTTGGCCCGAATTTCTAGTGACTGGGTGGTTTTACCTCTGCATTGGAGTTAGTTGGAAGGCAACAAGCAGGCACTGACCCAGGGAGCTGGGACGATGAAGTTTAACATGGAGTTAGGATTAGAAAGCAATTTTTATTCTGAGTCAGAGGTAGCTAGAGGAGGCAATGCAGGTAGGACTTTGTCCCCTTAAGTCTTCAGCCTTTTAAATCATAAGTTCTAAGCCAGCTCATCACCAGGGCATGTACTCTCCTTGAAGAAAAATGAGTAGGAAGGAAGTCTTCTCACTCGTTACTGGACAGTTCTGCATGGCAGCGTGGGCTCCCTCTAGAGCCCTAATTAGCTGCTTCCTATTAGACTGGCCATTTGAGTGAGAGGACCAAATGCTTCCTGCTGCTTTCTGTGTGTGGTCTCTTTCACTGCAGAACCAGACAATAAGGATAGAACTCAGGGTATGTGTGTGTGGGGGGGGGAGCTCTTGTAGATCAGTGTTTTAGCTATGGATCTCAGATAAAACCTCTTCAGTATTGCCAGACTTAAAACCAAGTTCCACAAATGCTAATTCCTATTATCTCTTATAAGGTATACTATAGTCTGCCAACCCTAAAGCTTGAAACATTCTTTTCCTGTTAAGAACAATTTAACCTATGAAGTTGTTCATGGTGTTACTATGGTTAAGATTTTTATCCTAGAACTTCATACAATGTTGTAACCATATTTGCTCACCCTTCCCCAAATCCTCCCAGATCTACTCTCTCTTCCTACCCACCCAACTTCCTGAGCTATTTCTCTCTCCCTTTCAAACCCATGGGGTCCAATTGGAACTCCCAAATACTCAAGTATGGTGCCTACTCTGGAGTTTGGCACACCTATCAGAGGCCACATGCTTAAAGAAAACTAACCCTCCCTCTCCCAGAGGCTGTTAGCTACCAATACCTTAGGCCTTTTGAAAAAGTCATATTACTTTTTAAACCCCTGGGAACTTTAATTTCCTCACCCAAAGATGGGCGGGTATGTGGAGTTTTTTTTTTTTTTTTTTTTTTTGGAAGTGGGGAGCCAGGCATTGTGGTATAGGCTCTTATTCCCAGTCCTTGGGAGGCAGAGACAGGTAGATATCTGTGAATAAGCTAGCCAGTCAGTGCTATATAGTGAGACCTTGTTTAAAGAAAAAGAAAAAAAAAAACACCTGAGAAAAAGAGAGAGAGACAGAGAAACAGAGAAAGCACTAAAGAAATAACACTATAAATGCACTATGTTTTGGAAACGAAATTTTATTTAAAGTAGCAAAAATTATCGCTTAAATTATCAATACTGATTAAATGTAGCTTCCTATTACAAAGTTACCACATGCCATGCTTGTGATAGTGAGAGCCTAGCACGTGACTACACAAGTGACTGTGGTTTGCTTGTTCTGATCTGGAGTAACATCTCCTACCGGTTCTCCCTTCCACCTGTGGGCCCCTCTCCTCTCTAAGCAGTATTCCACGGAACTGAAGAAGCTGTACTGTCAAATTGCAAAGACGTGCCCCATCCAGATCAAAGTGATGACGCCACCCCCACAGGGCGCTGTCATCCGTGCCATGCCTGTCTACAAGAAAGCCGAGCATGTCACTGAGGTCGTGAAGCGGTGCCCTAACCACGAGCTGAGCCGCGAGTTCAACGAGGGTAAGAACAGTGGGGCCCTGGATTCTGTTCCTGTCCAGTCAAGCTCCTTGATGGTAAAGGTGCTGCTTCTGGTTTCAGACTAAGAATATTGATAAATAAATTTGTGACTTTCACAGTAATTGGACTAGTTAATAATTTATTTGTCCGAATGAGAAAATAGGAACACAATAGCATGGCAGTAGTTGTGCCTGTCATATCTTTGACTTGGCTGCCTTTCCCTGAGTGATATTTCAAGTCTAGAGAAACTGAAGGCAGGGAAGACCGGAAGAAGGAATGTAAAAGAGCTGGTATAATGAACAAATGAGAAAGTAAAAGGAGAAAGAAGAATAAAAATTGACAAGGGAAAGAGTAGGTTAGAAAATAAAGATTCAAAACAAATGGATAATGGAAAGAAAGACAGGTTTCCAGGAGGGGTCTTGGGGGCTCCCTTTAAGTTCGGTGCCCATGTGTAATGTATACCCATCTTTGGAGCCCCAAATCTAACCAGAGTGTTATAGAAGAGGTGAGTGTTCCCCAGGGTTCACATAGATCTGGCATTATGGTTCCACGAAGGGCAGTGAAAGCAAAGAGTGACGGAAGTAGAAAGGAATCCTCTGGGGGCTGGGAGTGCAGGGGGCTGAGGGTTAGATCACTTCACAGAAAACACTGATAGTGTAAATGTTGGAAGGCAGCTGGAATGTGTAAACATGGGGCACAGAAGGGATTGCAGAAAAAAATCATGGAAGAAGAAAGAGGCTGGATAAATATTTAGAAGGAGAAAATACAGCCAAATATCCCAACCTGATTTTTATAGACTAATTTCTAGTTTTGTCTACATGACTGCATTATCCATATTTTGTCTCTTGCTTTGTGATTAATAATATACCATAAAATATCCTGTACATGCAGGCTTAATCCTCAGTTTGCCTAAGTGCCAGTGTTCCATCAAAACAACAATATTTTGGAAGTTTCCTTCATTTTCAACATAATATTGTTGAAATAGCCAGTTCTGCAGAGAATATGTTGATATTCTTAGCTTTTTACTTTTATTGAATAGTTTTTGTAGACTGGAACTTGATACCTCAAGGGTAAAGATTGCTTTATGGTCCCTCTCAGAACACTTTCTTTTGGAGCATTGCCAGACATCTCAATTTTATGGCTTTGCTTAGACCTTTTTGTAAAACCTGCTCCCTTTTCTTGTCTCCAACCTGGGACTCTTTCAACGCAGTAAAGCCAGAAAGTTTCTTATCTTTATTACTAAATCCAGGTCTAAAGATGGATAGGAGAAAAAAATAAAGATCAACAGTGCTTACCACCTTCTAGTGTTGCTTGCTTTGTTAGAAGCAGTGGGGCTCGAACCCAGGGCCTTGCAAGTAGGAGGCATGTGCTCCTTCACTGAGCTATACGCTCAGCTAATTTCTTCTACTTCTCATTTTCTATTTTTTTTGCAAGTTAAAGGCTTAGGCTGAACTTCTTTGTTTGTTTGTTTTCCAATTACCTAGGAAAATTCTATGCAGTGGATAAAATCAGAGATGTAGAATAAGGTTCTAGGAAAGCTTGGATAGTTAACCTTTAGTTGCAGACCATAGAACCGTCCCTAGACACTGATCATCACAAAACTCTGTGTTGGTGCGTAGTGTTAGGTGTCATCCACGGTAGGCACCTGCAAACAAGGTCTGTCCTTTATGACACGCAGGGTTTCCTTGGTCACTGCTATCATTCTTTCTATGACAATTCATTTCATAGTCTTTATTATTAGGTCTGTAAACTAACTATTTTGTCTTTTTCTGACTTACAGGACAGATTGCCCCTCCTAGTCACTTGATTCGAGTAGAAGGGAACAGCCATGCCCAGTATGTGGAAGATCCTATCACAGGAAGGCAGAGTGTGCTGGTCCCTTATGAGCCGCCCCAGGTAAACAAGCAAAGCAGGGCAGAAGGAGTACCACACATTTGGTAACATGCGGGATCTAGTGTTTATCGCTGTGTTCACCCTTGCCACCAAATGCTTCCACAACATTCTTTTAATATCTCTTGCTCTCATGTCACCCCTTTCAAAATCCTAAACTGGAGAGAAGGCTCAGTTATTAAGAGCGCTTGCTGCTTTTCCAAAGGCAAGTTCAGTTTCCAACTCCTTCCCCACCAAACATGCGGGGTTCCTCACATCTGCCTGTAACTCCAGTTCTAGAGAATCAAATGCCCTCTCTGGCTGATGGGGCACCAGACGCACACGGCACAAATACATCATGCAAGCAAAATGCACAAAATAAAAATGAACACATCTCTTTAAAATTGTGGGTGTGCACTGAATTTCCTAGGTAGTAGGGTTATGCTCAGGCTGCTTGCCTCACAGCTTGAGGTTGGTTTTGTAGTCTTAGCTGGATGGCAGGGAATTGGTAGTGGGTGCAAGCAAATGCTCTGTGTGTGTGTGTGTGTGTGTGTGTGTGTGTTTTATAGTAGATTGTAAATGGGTGAAGCTACAGAGCATTGTTTAGATGGTTTTCCTGAACAGATGGAATATTTACGAATGTGGGTGTGAAAGAGGACAGAGCGGTAGAAAGCATGCTAGACTACAGGAGGAGCAAAGCCAGTAGCTGGGCTTGACTGGCAAGCTCTGGGCCCTTGGGCATTGACTCACACGCTATGTGACTCTGTGGGCTTGACTTGCCTTATGCATAACTGAGCGATTTAGATTATTTAATTCCGAGGGTGTTTTAGCACTAGGATATTCTTCACGAAGATGTACATTCAAATTTAGGCAATATTAGTTTATCTTCACAATGAAAATACCCTTGAATTATTGCTGCTATTTGGGGCATTTTTTTTAAAGCTCTCCTTTCTCAGAGATGTCTGTGTTATAGACTGAAATGAGTAATTTGAATCAGCTAGCAAAAGAGCAGGGTTGAAGAGCAATGATGCAGTATAATGAATCCATCTGCTGTTCCAGTGTTGGGAACATTAGTGTGACGATCTCTTGAAAGCAAGGCAAAGAGGGCTTCTCCAGTGCACTATACAATATCCTTTCCGAGACAGAAACCTGCCGCTAGAAATCGAGTTCTTCCAAAAGAGGGCCGAGCTGAGACGCAAAAGCGTCAATTCACACCATCGTTGGCACAAGTTACATCACATACGGACGTACACCTTTCTTTTTCTCCTGCCCAGGTTGGCACCGAGTTCACCACAGTCCTGTACAATTTCATGTGCAACAGCAGCTGTGTCGGGGGAATGAACCGCCGTCCAATTTTAATCATTGTTACTTTGGAAACAAGAGAGTAAGTGCCATGTGTGGGACTGTCCACCCGAGGGTGAAGGAGAATCCTGAGCTCTCTCACTACCTCTGCATGCCCCCCCCCCCCAATTTGGCGCTTTGTCCTATAAATCCACTATAAACACTAAAAGATCTGAGAAAGTGGAGGCAGAGAAGGGTGGGTCAGGGAAGGGGGGCTGGGAGCCAAGGGGCCCTGCAAGTCACTTCAGACTTGAATACTTGACTTCTGACTGGAATTGTTTCTGATAGACAGTGTTTGTTTTCATGTGTCCCCCAAGGCATTTACTGGTTTCCTTGAGAAGTCTGAGCTGCCTGAGGCGATTTTATCCTGGGACATCCCCTGGCTTAACTCAAGTTTCCTTCAAAATATGTAGCTAAATACAGCTGTTCAGCTAATGGCTCGGAGGGTCTTTGCAAAGCGAATGGAATGTTCTTTATTTGTATTGCTTGTGGCATGCACAGTTTCGTGTTCTGCCAGGTGCTTCTGGGCGCTTGCTCTGAGCAGCCATGCTGAAGGGCGTAAGGACATACGTATGAGGGCCGACGTCAGGGACAAGACCCCTGTAACTTTAACCTGTTGTTTTTCTCTAATTCCTAGTGGGCAAGTTCTGGGCCGACGGTGCTTCGAGGCCCGGATCTGCGCTTGCCCCGGAAGAGACAGGAAGGCCGATGAAGACAGCATCCGAAAACAGCAAGTTTCGGACAGCGCAAAGAACGGTGATGGTACGAAGCGCCGTAAGTAGATGTAGTGGCCAGATGGGGTGGGGTCAAGTCTTCTCCAGATGTGGGACTCTACAAATAAGATTAGGAAGGCCATTCAAGGAAAGCTGTAAGCTTTATGAGCCAGTGTGACCTGAGCTCTCAAAGAAAGTAGGATTGCACCGGACCCACCCTAGGGCACTCTACCAGTTGCTTAAACTCCAATTGTTCTTAGCGGGAGATTACTTGGGATCTGGTGTCCACACCAATAGCATCAACAACACCTGGAAACTGGGCACATGCTCCGGTTCTAGACTTGCTGTTTTTGATGTCCCAGTGATCTGGGTTGAATGTTACCTAAAGCAGCAGGTGTCGATTTGTCTTTCAGTTATTAAGCATGGGATTAAAGCGGTACCTGTTTTCCTTGGGGATCTAAGGAACAGTACCGTTTGCAAATGTATGTCCTTTGGCACAGTCCAGGGATGTACAAATGTGGTCGCACTGAGCCTAGACAGCACATGGTGACCGGAATGAGGCCTCAGCTACCTTAACATTTGGTACTAAACTTGGATTCTAATTAATTCTATTTTTTATTGGGATATTTCAAGAATCCTGTAATACAACATTTTGAAAGCAGAAGTGCTGCCATCTTTAGAAGGGGTTCACGTGACCTGTGGTGTATGTCTTCATCTCAGCCACCACCACAGGGTCCCTAGGACCAGCGGACAATATCTGCAAACCATTGTTCACATGTGCTGCTGACTTATACAGAAATACTGTTCTAGAAAGCACTTTGCATAAATGTCAACCCACTGGCAGCTCACCAAGTTAGTTTGGGTTTCTTAAAGAGAGATTCCACTCTGTGCCCCCTGGAAATCTCTATATGTACCAGGCTGGCTTTGAACTCACATCAACTCTTCCCCTTCAGTAGTCTGTGTTCTGGAATTCCAGGAATGAATAGCTATGCCTATTATAAAGTATATCACAGTACTTTTTTTTTTTTTTTTTTTTTTTTTTGGCTGGGATTCTCTGTAGATATGGAGCCTGTCCTGGAACTAGCTCCTCTTATAGACGACCAGGCTGGCCTCGAACTCATAGAGATCCACCTGCCTCTGCCTCCCAAGTGCTGAGATTAAAGGCTTGCACCACCACCACCACCTGGCTTGAGGAGGGCTTAATCTTACTACCTATTAGTATTTATATGGATTAAAACTAGAACTGTTCCTCACAGGAGAACCCATCACCACTGACTTCCAACTTCTGAGCATGATATGTTTTTCTGCTAGATTCCCTCAGTCCCCATGACAACTCCTCACATAACTCAAATGTTCCATATATACATATCCCCATTCTAACTTCTCTTGCGCCTGCAGCTAGCACGAGGCAATAGCGCAGCCTATCTTGGGCACTCTACTTACCAACAATTTAGTGGTTTATAGTAAGAACAGAATACCTGAGCTTTGATGGAAAGATCATTTTCACACCCTGGATCCTAGCTGATTAGAGATGCTAAGTTAAAAACCTTAGCAATTTATCACTCATTAATTCCCCCATTTTCTATGGCCAACGAAGTTCCTGTAACATGCATATTTAACTTCTTAGGAGATGCATGATCTGAACCATAAAACTTTTAAAAAGGCAAAACAAGAAAACTGTATTTCCTTTTTCTTAACAGTTTTTCAGAGACACATGTAGGGAGCACATACTCTGACTGCCCCTCCACCCCCACGACAGCATCCTGGGTTTGCCTTCTCTACTGTTTTTTCTATCTCTCTCTCACCTTCTTACTTTATATAAAAACAACTAGCATCAATTGATGGGTACTTAGGACCGACATCCCTCATCTCCCATGCTGCTAGGCAGTTTCTATTTTGTACGTATTTTTAGAGATCAGATTCAGTGCATCAGCTCTCACAAACTCTCTCAATGAAGCTTATGTACTTCTTCCTCCAGCTTTTCGCCAGAATACACACGGCATCCAGATGACTTCCATCAAGAAACGAAGATCCCCAGATGATGAACTGCTGTACCTACCAGTGAGTCCCCTTGAATTGTCACAGTTGCTTCATTTCCCCCTCCTCAGCGTGCATTTCTTAGACAGTACTCACCCAGTTCCTCAGGGAAAGAGGGAAGAACCCTCCTTCCCTGGAGTAAGAACAGCAGGGACTTAGATGATGCAGCGTGTGAACAAGCACCATGGATTTCTCCCGGTGCTAGGGCTGGAGGTTGGAAGTCTGAGACCGAGGGCAACTTGCCCTTGATAGGTTCTGGGGAGGACCCTCTTCTGAGATGCTGCCGTCTTCTGCATATTCTCTTTCACGGGACAAAAAGCTGCATAGCTTTCTGAACAGTCATTTACAGGGCCACTGATCACATCCTCCATGTCTCAACCTTCATAACCTAAATAGCATGCCAAGGGCCCCATCTCCCAACACCACCACTTTGGAATTTCAGAGTAAAACACACGAAATGTAGAGAAGGGAAACACATTCAATCATAGTGGCAGAAGGAGGTATCAAATAAAGCAAAGATCTTTTCCTTTTAAAATCATGACACGATCCTTTCCCTTAGAATATATTCATATTGTGAGTTCTACTTCATCGCTCTCCCATTCTAACAAAGCCACTCCCGTAATAGGACATTTGCCATCAAATATTTAATTCACATATCTTTATTTGTGACACAGCATTGCCATTCATGAACTTTTGTCATAAGCATTTCACAAAGTTAACAATGCAGTCACTAAGCTGTTCCACTTTCAGGGTACCCTAGGGTCATTTGATACATGTTTATCATAAGTAACAATCAACTCACAGCAATCCGCATGTCCGTGTCTCTAAGCATTCACCATTTCTATGTGCAGGGAACCTTTGTTGTCCTTTAGGGAATGTTATAAACAAAGTCAAGCAAAGCAGAAGCCTTGTGTAGGGACAGAAGGCTTGACCCAATTCTTATGTAAGACCATCCATCCCTTCTACTTGACTATCCATCACTAATGAGATCACGTCATTAGGTTATGGCTAGCATTCATTGGGTTCTTACTACCTTAGGTCTTTGCCACCTATGGTAACTATTGCTGATCTTCTTAAACTTTGTAAGATGTTCAACCCTGATGCCATCTAAGTTGACACAGGTGACAGTGTCAGGAGCAATGACTGAGCTACCACCCTGGGATTAGAGTTTAAGTCATTTAGCAGGTTCATTTGGGTGTGCATGCCTCCTTCCCAGCCTTCCCAGCCCTGGCTCTCAGAGAAATCTGACAGGCAGCGAGCTGAGGTTTCCAGTCTCACTTCTAAGGCTACATATAGAAAGTGGATGTTTTCCCTCTAGGTAAAACATTACACCTTCTATACTACACTAATATTTCATGAAAATCCCAGTATGTGGTCATGAAGAAGCTACTGTGATGAATTGGATCTAAAGAAATAAGCAGTTAGACAAAAATCAAGTTAACAGGATGAGAAAAGCCATGGAATAAATTCACGTTGAGTGACCCATAGGCCGGTTCTCAAGCAACTGTAAGGAAGGATAAATGTTTGCCTTCCAAACATTTACCTTAAACTGAGTACCTAGCACTTCCAAGGTAATGAAGTTCTTAGGAGAACAAGGCTGAGGAAACACACGTGAAGGAGAAAATGTGGGGATAAGAGAAGCCCTAAAGTCAGGGTGGGCATCTCGGAGAAAAGAGACCAGAGGAGGCTAATAACAGCAGAGGAGAAACTTGGCGCATCTGTCGTTCATGCTCAGGTCAATGACTGTGGGGCAGATAGGTGCATAAGGTCTAGAATGCAGTGTACATTCACTCCCAGGGCCCTGGGGGTTCTTTAGCCCAGCCTCCTCCTCAGTTAAAACAAAGTCATCCACAGAAAACACAAAAATATGAATCAGATGGGCATAAGTAGGCTGGGGAAAGAACGCTAGTTCACAGCATCAAAGCATAGACAGGAGCATAGCCTCTCCTTGCTCACCTTCAGCTGCGAACTTATATACAGGACTCAGCTCATCTGTCCCTGTGTGTGTCTCTAACTGGCTGAAAAGTGCCAGCTATACTGGTTTTCATGTTGCAAATATGTCTTAGCCAGGAGATGTATTTACCAGTACATAATCCGCAAATAGTCAGATGTGACTGAGTTTTGCCTGGTCTGCAGCTCTTCATCCTCCCTGTTTTCTGGTTTTTGCCTAGGTGAGAGGCCGTGAGACTTACGAAATGCTGCTGAAGATCAAGGAGTCCCTGGAGCTCATGCAGTACCTCCCGCAGCACACGATCGAAACTTATAGGCAGCAGCAGCAGCAGCAACACCAGCACTTACTCCAGAAACAGTGAGTGTGCCACCGTCCTTGCGGAAGGCATGAGCAAGGGGTACTCTTGGCTGTTGGCATCAGCGGCAGGCTAATGGCAGAAGCTGACACTGACACTGTGTGGTCCATAAGAGTTTAGATGAGCTGGTTTGGCCTCCTTCTGTGTGTCGTGTGACATTTGGTGTGTTCACTTGTGTTCTATTACAAGCTCCCAGCTCATGATAACACTTACTAATACTCTGTTCTAACAACTTATCATGTTCAAAACCCTTCCCTTGTCACAGAGGATTGGCATGTGTATCTCCTAGGATACATGCAATCCCTTTTGGGGTACGGCTATAGGTAAAGAGGACCGAGGAGGTTTTCCTACTAGGAGATGAACTGTTTGCCCGCTGTTTTAACTGGGGTTCTGAGACCTAGCCCTGTCCCTTGAGGGATGTCTCAGTGCAGGACAGAGTTATATCAAGTTTTTGTGTTTTAGCATCTTTGTTCTAGACTATCTTCCAGCAATACATTTTTAAATAAATGGGAAAGGTTTGGCAACCTTATTAGCATATGCATACAGTCTACTCATATGTTAAGTTTCACCTTTCCACTCAGAGCTTTGGTGTTAATTGTTTTGTGACTAACAAGAAGAGAATCGCTCTTCTGAAAAGATGGGAGATTGGCCAATCAGAGCTCTGCTTATAGCTATCTTTGGGTGCTTAAGTACCTTCACTTGTGAATTTAATACATTGTATATTAGTGCAGTGTTGCCACAGAGTCTTGGTAGATAAATGTCTATACTACATTTTCAGTTTACTGGAGAAATCTCAAACACTCAACCTTTCAGGACAAAACGAAGAGGTATCAAAAAGTATCTTAATTGAGAAAAGAGGTTTGTTTGCTATTTTTTTAAGCTACATTGATAATTTAGTCTAATAGTTATAAGGTTTGACCAAAGAAGATCTTTAAAATAGAAATGTAAGTGAGCGAGAAATACTAGTTCTTTTCTAACATTATTGACTACTTCTACATAAGTATAAAAAAGGGGTACTTAAGCAATATAAATGCTGCTGAGGGGTCTAGACTCCATCTCTAAAAACCATAGCCGACTTCTGAGTGGGGAACAGCAGAAGACTGGGAAATGAGCATGTCCCCTTCTCAGCTGAAAGCTGTTGCGAATGTAAGGCCCTTTGACTACCGCATCTCACATGGAAGTTCTACAACTCGTAACTATCATTTGTTCTGAAGGCCAGACATAAAATTTAATCAAGTGATTTCTTCGAGATACAGAATACTCTACAGGAAAATCAGAACACACAAAATTCTCACTGGCAACAGTATGTATTCTTTTGGATATCTGACATCAGTGGATGTTAAGATAATCAGGTATAGATTCCATTTAGTTCACTTATAAACATGCAAATGAGATCCAAGGACTGCACCGCTGAAACACAGTAGACTTGCAGAGGAATAAGTAAGAGTGCCTTCCGCTGAGAATTGCTTCCAGTTAATTCTCAAAACCTTTAGCTCAGCCAACACCAGTAGGATGAGGATTCTATTATATATTAATGTGTTGTGTTGAACTAGTTCTGAGTCGTCAGCTCCGGACATTGTTTTTCTCATTAATGAAGAAAGAACCATCTAGTGCAGGGACTAGTAAGCATTCTCTTCTTCTGAAGCAAGAGAGTTAGGTATTTTATGCATCTGACTGCAGATGCTCTCTTATAACCGATCGGTTCTATGCTTGTGTTGGGAGAACAGCAGTAGGTGCCATAACTCAATGAGGGTGGCTGTCACATGAATATCTTATTATGGAGTCTGAAACTTGTATTTCATACCATGTTCTTATGTCGTAATTGCTACCTCCTCCATGTTTAAAAGTGTAAAAACCATTGGCAGCTCGTGAGCCATGCTGGAGAGCTTGCCAACCACTCTTGCAGGTGAATAGGCTCCTCATCTTTTTGTGTTCATTGAAGTGGAATTTCTGTTGGACGGGCACATCACAAAGTTACTGTGTGTATTCTAGAGAGGTAAGAAACGAGCACAAAAAGTCCTGAAGTCAGCTTCAGACGGCAGCCTTCCCCATAGGTCTCTTTTGTCCTATGACAAATAAAGCATTTCTACTGAGATAACAAGTGCTCATGGTGATCTAATCCCTTTAGTAAAGCACACTATAATACGTGACTTTAAAATGGAAACAAGAATTAGGGCTTCTGCCTTCCGGTAGTTTGCATCAAGTAGTGAATTCCTAACTAAAACACTGTTTTTATATATGTTGTAATATTAAGAAAGCTTTGCAATGATCAGGATTATATAAATTAAGCTTGCAAAGATTAGATGAGAAAGGAAATAACCTATCTTTGTTTTGTAGACTTTTTGACTCAAGTGGCTTGTTCTGGTCAAGGGCTCATGCTATCTGTGTTTACACTGTATAGATGAGAATACTGACCTTGCATCTCTGTGTGAGGATTTTTCCCAAGTAGCTGGTAGCAGATTGATCGCCTTGCACTGCTCCCAAGGGAAGTTTTATTATCTCTTCTTTATGGAGCAATCTATTTTGTAGGAGAATAAAAATGTATGATAAAGTTGTGCTAGCAAAAATGGTCTAAAAGATTTTTGGGACTTATTTTTATCCTTTTCCAGGAGTAGCTAAAAGATGAGTAGTAAGTAGTTAGCTGCACAGCTCCCGGGGTGTTTGTTGGAAACAATCATGTGCATGGTTTTGAGTTGGTCTCTCACAGCTGTGATGGCTTGCGCATGGAGAGCTAACAGATTGCAAAATGAGATCTTTGCAAAATACAGATGTTTGGTCCAATTACATGTTTATACCATTATATATGTCTCCCTGATGATTGGCATGAATCCATGTAGGTCCTCCAGTTGTTATAGTCTTCAGCTGAGATTTTTTTCCCAGCTCTTTTATTTTCACGCGAATCTTCAAGAGCAGGAGACAGGAATAAGTAGACAAAGAAAAACTGGAAATCTAATTTCCTGACAATCATTTGAAAAGAATAAATCAACTTAGAAAGTGCCTGTAATAGCCTGTGATTTCCTTTCTAAAACATAGTACCAATTTGATACTGGTAAGGAATTTTTTTAGTAGAATGAAAATTGGTGGGAAAGAAATATACTTCCTACAAGGTGGCAGTAAAATATTTTCAGTTTAATTGCTTCCTTAGTCTCCCATTCTGTGTTTTCTCTCTGCTTGCTTTTCACTTGTGCATGGATTTATCATTTTTTTCTTTTTTTTTCAACCCTTCATGGTTACCTTCATGATCATAGGCTGTATGGAAAACGGATTTTGAACCAAGTTGCTATGATTCAAGTTATTTTAGACATGCTTGGGCTTTGCACTGTTAAAGACAAAATTATATTTCCATTTTCTTGCCCACAGTGGTACAAATATAGTTTAATAGAACTCAAATCTTTTACAGATTTTTACTAAATTCCACACTCTTGCTGTCCCATGGGCATTGGTCTATAATGCTAGGCTGTTTGGTTGACACCTGTTTTAGGAAGCCTTAACGTTTTGATTAAAGCCCATGTGCCATGTCTTCTTTTTGTTTATTTGTTTGTTTACTTGCTTTTCTCTGGAATTCACTGTTTTTGCCTCTGCTGTTCTCAGACCAGTATGGCTTCTTTACACTTTTCCTAGCTGTCATTTCCTTCTGGAAAACTGTATTTTGTTCTCTATGGAAAAGATTCCATTGACTTACAATATATGCTGTGACACTCTAAGATGCCCTCATTCTATAGTGATGTCTTAACTGTGTGTGGCTCCATAGTAAACAGAAGCCAGAAGATGCTACTTTTGAGCAGGTTCTTCAAGACTGGTTCCAGCCCTCACACTAAGGCTGGGAAGACCAAGCAAGCCCACAAAACAGCTAAGGTTGCAGCGAGCATCTCTTCCCATGTTGCCGTGGTTGCTAGGTCCTTAGTCTTGCTCTTTCAGTTTAAAGCCCTATCCTTTCTGTTCTTTTTTTTTTTTATATAAACCAGGAATGCCCCTCTCCCAGCTTCATGTATTAAGAAGCAAACATTATACTCAAAATTACTAATGAATTTAGGAAAAAGTAAATGACACCAATATCCAAATTGATATAAATCATTAAAGCTGCACTTCTAAGTTAGTTTATAAGGCCACCCATTTTCAGAACATTTGCTGGAAATTGCCAGCTCTATAGACTTGAAAACAACATCAACAGCAAACAACCTCGTAATTTCATGTTGTTCAGCCCGACAATTATATAAAAATCTGAATTTTTATAGTGAGCACAGTATTACTTTGGAACTTCACAGCTAAATGATGCTATTTTCCAAGACAGAGGTTTCTTACCTCTAGATTACTAATGGAGAAAAATCTCAGAGGTTAATTAAATTCAATTAGATCACTTCTCCAATTGTGCCTATCTCCTTTGTAGAGCTGACCTTGCTTCTAAGTCTGAAAGTTTGAACCCACAGGGTGTATCTAGTCTTGCCTTCACTGGAATGCTGATATGATCAGCCAACTACACTAGGCTTCCCTATCGGAAACTCCCAGACTTCAGCTTCCAAACACAGAAGTCTCCAAACTGAATCTTTTAGTTATAAGTTGCTTCCCCCATGATGTATATTCTGGCATATTTTGTTATGAACATCCCAATCTCACTGGTACACTAGGTCATGGATTGAGTTGGAAAATGGCCTTGCTCCTTTGAAAGGACTAAACAAACAGGATTTGAAAATCCTGTCTGGGAAACAGTTCCCAACACTTCAGCAGGTTGCACAACCTTTAGCCAAATAAAAGGGCTTATTCTTGGCATCCTATGGCATAATTGATTTCTTAATTATGCAAAAGTTGCTTTCATGAGTTTGATATATGCATTTATAGGCCAAGTTTGTGACGGAGAGGATTAAGGTATTTACCCACCTCAATCGGGGCCCATACAAAATGCTCATTAATAGTTCTGTGCAGATGCATGATGACGCAGCCCCCACACTGATAAGATCTATTTCTTCAGACTTCAGAGTTTGGCTAGACAGAGCAGTAATGAGGC